CAGTGGGAAAGAAATGTCTTTTCAACAAAAGAAACTAGGACAACATGCAAAAGAATGAAGTAGAACTGCTGTCTCATGACAAATACAAAATTAACTCAAAGCTTGGATCATATTTCTTAATTCAAGACCTTAAATGTTTGAAATCTAAAACTTTAAAAAGACAACATAGGCATAAATCTTCATGAACATAGATTAGAAAATAGTTTCTTAGATATACCAATAAAGCCACAAGCAAAATAAATAAATAAATAAATAGAATTTCATGAAGTTAATAACGTTTGTGCTACAAAAGGCACTATTAAGAAAATTGGAGAGCATCAGGAAAAATAGCGGATGCGTGTTGGGCTTAATACCTAGGTGATGGGTTGATAGGTACAGCAAATCACCATGGCACGTTTGCCTATGTAACAAACCTGCACATCCTACGTATGGACTCCAGAACTTAAAACTAAAAAAAATAAAATAAAATTCATAGAATGGGAGAAAATATTTACAAATCTTACATCTTACCAGAGTATCCAAATGTAAAAGGAACACTTGTAACTCAACAATAAAAAGAAAAATAATCCCAAGACAAGAATGGGAAAATATTTCAGCAGAGCTTCCTCCAAAGAAGGTATACAAAAAAGGTTCTTAAATATAATTAGAAATGAGAAACTAGAGAAATGCTTATAAACCTACAATGAGATACTACTTCAAATATATTGGGATCATTTTAATAAAATCACAATTGTAGGCAAAAATGTGAAGAAACTGGTATCCTTATACATTGCTGGTGTGAATAGAAAATAGTGCATCCACTTTGGGAAACAGTTTTGCAGTTTCTCCAAAAGTGAAACCAAGAGTTAACCACAGGACTCAATAATCCCACACCTAGGCGTATACCAAAAAGAACTAAAAACATATGTTCAAACAAAAAGGCATATGTAGTAGTTTAAGTCATAACAGCCAAACTGTAGAAACAATCCAAATGTCCTTCTATTGATGATGTATTAACAAATGCGATAAAACTTAATAATGGAATATTGTTCATCCATAAAAGGAATGAAATATCTATATACACTACCTGGAATGGACTTTAAAACATTGTGCTACATGAAAGAAGCCAGACACAAAAGGCAAGAAATTGTATAATTATTTTTACGTGAAATACTCAGAATGAGCAAATCCACAGAGACAAAAAGCAGATTAATTGCTGCTAAGAAAGACTGGGTTATTAAGACTGATGATATGCTGTGTACAGGATTTCTTTTTAGGATGACAAAAATGTTTTGGAATTTGCTAGTGGTGATGTCTGCTCATCTCAATATATTCAAACACACTGATTTCTATACTTTAAAATTTAATTAACTTTATGATATGTGAATTATATCTGAATTGAAACCAAACTAAAAGCAGAAACAAACATATATTTAACATATAAGGTGTTGCATAGCATATAAAAGTCCATAATAAACAATCACTGTTATGCTTTACCAATTTCTCCTCAAAACACTTAACTGAAATAGTGCATTGTAGTAATGTCTTATTCAATTTTATATGATATAAAATATGAAAAAAGATAATATATAGAATTATATGCTTAAAGACTTAAGTGATAAAATAAAAATTTGTAGCATACTGAGAAAACAGTGGTCTTAATTTGTTTAATTCCCTAGACAGTTCTTTTCTCCCTTGATGTCACAGAATTTAAATGAATAAAATTTTTATATGTCACTTTATCCAGCAGAATGATCATTTATCAATAGCCGTGAAACATTTTAAAACCACATAGTTTTAGCAACTACAGAACTCATACACCTTTCTCATAAAACCATGTAAGATTTTTTTTACATAAATCAAAGGGAAAAAAGCTAGATAAGTGAAAACACATTTTGAGTTTTCATTTTTTTCAATTTTAAACTTTCACTTTAGACTTTAGCTTCTTTTCACTTGAATGTATAATATGTTATTATATATTCAATTTTGTAAAACCACTGCATACCACACATAGATACAAATTAATTGTGTGGCAAATAAAATGACACATTTCAGTTTCTGTACAAGTAGAAAACTAGCACAAACTTGGTTTCACACTCAAATCCAATCCTGCCAATTATACTGAAGAGAGAGTAATCGTATATATTTGAGAGCCTAAATCATTTGTGACATTCTGAGTAAGACAAAAATTTAGAGAATATCTTGAGAGATATGCCTTGAGAGAATATCTGGGAGGAAAACTTGACAGGTTCTTTTTTACTACCCCATATTGGATTGTTAACATCACAATGCCATCACAGCCCAGCTTGAAGGAGGAGTTTTGAACAGCAGAAGCAAACAGACTTGCTGGTCATGAATATTACCTTCTCATTTAAGCTAAGGTCTCTAAGGTTAAGGCATCCACAGATAAGAAAGAATATCTCAAGAGGAATTATGTGCAAATGGAAGTAAATAGATGTAACCCCCTCAGGCTTACATACCAGAGATAACAGCAAATAGGTTGAGCAAGTCAGCTTACAGGGTTAGGGCTTCATGCCCAGCTGTAATTCCCCAATCTACTCCTGAATGTTTTAGTAAGATATGAAAACATATCATATGCCTTAGCCCTTCACACAATTACCCAAAGCATCTGATAGTGGCCACATGAGTACTCACATAAAAGAATTATGTATTTCAGGGGCTGCAACTGCCATTAACCGGCATTAGAAGAGAAAGAAAGAGAAATAAACAGAGGGTTAAGAAATGGTGGGAGAGAGGAACAGAAAGAAGAGCAGGAAAGAAACAGTAGGATAAAAAAAAAAAAAGAAAGAGGAGTAAAAGGATGAACAACAGAGAAAGAGGAGAGAGATTTAAAAAAGAGTTGGGGGAAGGAGAGAGGAGGAAGATGAATCTGCAATAAAGAAGAGTTAAGGAAGCAGGAAGGAATTTGAAAAAGGAACAGTACATAGCCTAACAGAGATAAGGGAGAATATGAAAACCACTAATAAGAAGAAAGCAATTATAATGAAATAGGAACTGTACATAGCCTAACAGAGATAAGGGAGAATATGAAAATCACTAAGAAGAAGAAAGCAATTATAATGAATTACCAAGTAGGGATAGCAAGAATGTAAAAAACAAATTTAATTGACATTAAGACATCAAAGTTATGTATCAGGAAAGGATAAAGACAAAAATATAATATAAAAATAATATGATAGATTAAAGAATATCAACATCTATGCAATGGAAGTCCCTGGAAGACGGAAGAAGGTAAATCAAAGCCTGAAACTTTACATTGGAAGATCAGCAATCTTAGACCAAGGATGTTTATTGTATTTGAGTACGATACACAATGCCGAACTTCCTGTGATTCAACTGATCATAAAAGAATATAACATTATAAAGGAAGCACTCTGTCTCATCAGAGAACACAGATACCTTGTGCCTCCATCAATCTGGCTTCAACTGACTGAACCTTTTATTGGTATGTAAATCAAAGGTAGTTTTCTACAAGGGCATTGTCAGCCATCTTTCCTTCTCTCTTTCTTTCCTTTTCTCTCTCTTCCCCCATCAATCTGTGTATATTTAATTTCTTTAAACTTTACTTTGGATTGATGGTGGAGTATACATGAATGCAAAATACAGTGCTGGGAACATGAACATTATTAATTTTGCTTACCTGTGAATGTCTAAATCTGTGGATTTGCAATTAAACTCTGTTATCTCTCTAATATGTATATTCTAAATACAGGAAAGGAATCAGTCAAATTGCTGGCATATTTTAGATCTTCACAAAAAAGTAATTTGTACTTCTCCTTACAATCCTCATAAGACAAAGTGTAAATTCAAGAACTGTTAGTCTTTATTAAATTGCTCTTTATAATATGTATATAGGACTTTACAATTTATGAAATGATTTCATAGTCATTTCAATTATTATATTTTTGTCTGCTTAAATACTTGAATTGGTGGCAAATCAAGAAACCAAGGCTGAGTTTATTGCTGGCCCAGCATCATGCAAATAGAAAGTGATAAATTCAAGATGCACATAGAGATCTGAATCCAGATATAGTTATCTCTAGTTCCTGGTTACCCCATAGCAGGGAACAGATAAATCCTATCATAATGACTTATGGTGCCAGAGAATGCATTGCTCTTTCTCTAAATCTTTATTGCGGTTTTCCCCACAGATTTTTCAAGGTGAAATTAATTAGGTGAAAAGACACAGATTTACTTATTCAATAATGTAACAGAAAGCTACCTTAAGTTTCACTCAACCCACGTTAGCTATTTTTCCCTCTGGGTTGCACTACTTTGGCCTTTCCATCTTACTTCATTTTTCCGTATTCATCTTTACATATCATATGATCTTTGAGGACAGCTTGAGGTCTGCTTTGAGGATGACTCCAGATCTACTCTTTTTGAGAACTTTAACGTCTATCTCAACAGTTTAAATTAAGATTAGCAAACACAGGAAGATGTCAAGAAATTTAAATAAAAAATATGCTTCAAATAAGCCCATAATTTACTTAAAGATAATGATAATCGATGACATTGTCATAGTTTGGATGCTTGTCTCCCCAAAACTCATGTTGAAATTTGATCTCCAGTGTTGGAGGCGGTGCCTACTGGGAGATGTTTGGATCACGGGAGCAGACCCCTCATGAATGGCTTGGTGCTGTCCTTACGGCAATGAGGTCATGTTCTATTAGTTCCCTCAAGAGCTGGTTGCTAAAAAGAGCCTGACACCTGCTCCCATCTCTCTTGCTTCCTGTGTAACCACGTGATCTCTGAATACATGACCTCCCTTTGCCTTCTGTCATGAGTGGAAACTTTGAAATTTTCACTAAAGGCCCAATATTCCAGCTGGAAGAATCATGAGCCAAGAAATTTTTCTATGTAAATTACCCAGTCTCACGTATCCCTTTATGGCAACACAAATTTACTAGGACAGGCATCAATAATATATATTTTATCATATGCTTACATTATCAATAACATGTTTCTAAATGTAATATCAATAAAGTAAGAGATCTTACCTAGACCATGTCTATGTGTTGACATTGGTGGTAAGACAGTCCATGTCTTGGTTTTGGGATTGTAACATTCAACAGTGTTCAATGTCTTTAAGCCATCTCGACCTCCAATTACAAAGAGTTTGTCATCAATAACAGCCACACCAAACTGCAACCTTCTGCCGTTCATCATCCCTGCCTGGATCCACAAATTTGTTCTCAGATCATATTTCTCTATAGTTGTAGCTCCTAATAAAACATAAAATCAAAAAGTCACCAATTGCTATAAATCCAACAAACAGCCTGCCAAAGCAGGGTACAAATTAAGATATAAAAACACTCTTGTCACATTCATTTTTTTAAAAATCAAAGAAGAGACAGAAAAACAAAAGAAGTAGTAATTCAACTACTTTATTTTCTCTTCTTGGCAGGCATGAATGATCAAAATAGACACAAATGTTCATCTTGTTTGACTTACATAATGGTCTCATGCTAAACTATTGATTCGGTAGAAACATTGGTGAGCATGACCCAGTTCTGTCAGTGGATTTTACAACTTCCCTCTATCACTTTTGTCATTAAAAAATGTAACATAATCCCTGCTTGAAAAATATTTATGAAAGCCTTTTAAATAAATAAGTTATGTATGTTATTTGTATAATTTCTGAAAGTTAATTCAATAAAATATTACCATATTTTTCTTTAAATTTGTCATATGCCTTAAATAACTGAAAGTTTTAAAAGTCAAGTGTAAGATATGTAAGCAAATATTTGCTATGCTTTTTAAACCAGCTTTTAAAAAATAATCTGGGGAATAGCTTAATAGAATTTTACAAAATGATCTTCTGTCCTGAACAATCATGTTAGGATTCTAAATAATATAGTTTATATTTCCTAAAAGCTTTTTACATATAAGTTTGAGAAATACAATAACTCTGACTAATAAAATAGAAATTGAAAGAAGCAGCTAAATTGATGGTGAGATTTGTTTTAATGGGTTTAATTACCCAATTCTCATTAAAAATGGCTGTGTAGAACAAGCTCCCAAATGTTTCTATGATATAATATAAGCTGACAAACACTGATCGTGATGTAGTGTTTGACTTAATGTTCAGACTCACCTTCACCAATATTACACCTTTGATCATGAAACATTTCTACAAAGGAAATTAACATTCTTGTGTACTTTCACTTAAGCACTGATGATCTATTTTATCTGTAATAAAAGTTTGCAAATCTAGGGAATATATTCCTTTGGGGACTCATTTACTCTTCAGAACCTAGCTAGTAATGAACTAAATGAACACAAACACCTTCGTAACAGAAGTTTTGCTAATTAAAGTAAAAATGATACAATTTATGACAATTTTTACTTAAAGGTAATAGCAATAATTAGATATGTCACATCTGCTTTCTGATATTGCTAAAAATATAGGTTCATTTAAATGTACAACTAATTTTGAAGTATTAGGAAATTATTGTTATTGTTAGATAAAAATAAATTGCAACTTTCACAAAAGTTATTCAATACTGTTTATTAACATGTATAATATTTTAAACAAATATATTTATTTTATATTTTAACATATTTATTATATTGAATATTGAATGTTTTATTCATTTGCCTTTGAATCAAAATTCTAAAGCAAACTACATATTCAAATAACTTCAAAGTCATCTGGATTTTCAAAGCTTGATAACTTTGATATTATATGAATGCATAACTAAAAATTAAGAGTTATACACAGATGGCCTGGAGTGTGGCTCATGACTATAAATCCAGCACTTTGGGAGGCTGAGGAAGGTATATCATCTGAGGTCAGGAGATTGAGACCAGCCTGGCCTTGAACTCTGTTGAAACCCCATCTCTACTAAAAATACAAAAAAAAAAAAAAAATACAAAAAAAAAAAAAAATAGCCGGGCATGGTGGCTCATGCCTGTAGTCTCAGCTACTTGGGAGGCTGAGACAAGAGAATCCCTTGATCCTGGGAGGCAGAGGTTGCAGTGAGCTGAGATCATGCCACGGCACTCCAGCTTGGGCAACAGAGTAAGACTCAGTTGCATAAAGATAAAGAAAAAAAAAAGGGGGGTTACACAGATATCTGTCTCTTGTGACTATATTTGACCAACGGGAGCAGAAGAATGTAATCTAATCCTAATTAACACAATCTCATTATGCTCATATTTTCTGGTATGAGTGGACAAGGAAGAAAGTATTTGAACAATTATAATTCCCACAGCCTCCAAAACCTTGCTGAAAACCTTTGCAGGGAATTTGAGGTCCAGTTACCCTCCTCAGAGGAAATAGTTAGGAATGAGTGAAATTAAGACTTCTGAGCAACCAAAGGAGTTGCAATTCAAAAAGGAAAACTCAGGAATTGATTTGGATTTCAAAGCCTCATTCAAATAAACTAGATTTATCTGAAATCTCAATAAATGACAGAATTTTTAACCTTTACAGTTGTTCCTGTAACTTCAATCTTCAAAAGTGACCTACTCACTTATCCTAGTAGCTACAGCAGAAATAGGAGCTCGTTTCCATCTTCATTTTTCAAATTAGAATTTATATTAATTTCCTATGGCTACTGTTAAAAATATTTCCAATTTAGTGACAAATAACACAGATTTGTTATCTTACAGTTCAGGAGGTCAGAAATCTGAAATGGTTCTTTCTGCACTAAAATCAAAATGCTGCCAGGACTCCATTCCTTTCTGGAGGTTCCAGGAGAAAATCAGTTCTCTTGCCTTTTCCATCTTCTAGAACAGGGGTCCCCAACATCCAGGACGTGGACAAGTAGTGGCCCGTGGTCTGTTGGGAACCAGGACGGACAGCAGGAAGTGAGCAGCACCCTGAGCTCCATCTTCTGTCAGACCAGCCGTGGCATTAGATTCTCATAGAATCACAAACCCTACTGTGAACTGTGCATTGGAGGGATCTAGGTTGTTCATACCGTATGAGAATCTAATGCCTGATGACCTGAGGCGGAACAGTTTCACCCCAAAACCAACCACTCCCCTACCCTTGTCCATGGAAAAATGTTCTTCCACCAAACTAGTCCCTAGTGCCCAAAAGATTGGGGACCGCTATTCTAGAGGCCACCACATTCCTTGTTGCTCCATCTTCTATCCCCAAAGTCAGCAACATTGCATTTCTCTGACATTGACCCTTGTGATTACATTGGGCTCATACCAACTTAATCAGACATAATGTAGAACAATCTGTTTATGTTAAATTCAGCTGGTTAACCACTTTAATTCCTTCACAAGCTTTATCTCAGTCTTGCTGTGTAGCATAACATATTCACAGGTTCCAGGGTTTAGGATATGGACATTTTTCTGAGGGGGAGGTGCATTATTCAGCTTACCTCAGAAACCAAGGCCTATTTATACTTCAGTCTTCAATCTTGCTTAGTTATATAAAGTTAAGCAATACAAAATGTAAAAGGATCTTTTACATTTGTAGAACTTACTCATACTAGCCAATATAATTGATTTTCTTATTCAAATGTCAGCAGGTATTGTAAATGCTTTATCTTGTTTTTAAGAAGAATCAAATTAAGGTATGCTTTCTCTTTTTAAATGGAAATTATTATTAATATTAATATCCTTTATAGAATTTCCTAACCAACATACTTTATTAGCTGTCTATCTAAGCCTCCTAATTCTATTATTATTATTAGTTTATCAATTTGTGAGTTTTGTTGTTTTCTTTTGTTTATAAGAGTGTATGTATTCCCCTGGCTATTTTCTGAGTCAGAAGAAAACGGAAAGCCAGTTTTGAGTAATTTTAGCCCTTTGTTGTCCCTTAGAGCAGAAGCCATATTTATCATAATATAGATTACAAACAGACGACAAGTTAGAGTGGACTGCTGCAGTGGTATGTAATAAACTTGGAAGGGATTCAAAAGGAAAGTTTACTTTAAGACATAATTACTTTGGGGTTACTCTGTTAATGAAGCCATCACTGGTATCTCAAATACCTACAAGGTGAAGGCAAATTACTCTGTGCATAGAGTATACATTATTCAGGTGATGACTACCTAAAGCCCTGACTGGACCACAATGCGATCCGTGAATGTAACAAAATTGCACATATATACCCCATAAATTTATTAAAAATATAATGAAATGTGTGACAGCAGGCATGACAGAGTCCTGACCATTTATGTTAACTGAAGAATGCCCACTCCACTGAAAAATAACAATTGCCACTTTGTTGTTGCCATTAGAAATTCTGGCTTAGTATTGCCAGGTTTTTTTGACTCATGAAGAAGAGGCAGAAATCTAGATTTTTAAAATGTGCAATCTCCAAACAATAAGCATATATGACTGATTTAAATAATGTTTAAGTACATTGAAACAAACACATGGCCACATCTGCCATAGAGAACTATGATTAGGAGTGGTTATATCCTCATTGTTTTTCCTCTTAAACTCAAGACCGCTGCCATTACAAACATGTTAAGGTTGCATTAACTTTAGTAGGAAATTATGTTGTCATTCTGTGAGCTTTTGTATAGTAATAATATTTTGTAAAATGTATACTATAATTTATTAAAATCTAAAAGGATCTGTAAAGTCTCTTAACCTAATGTACTTACGTAATTCAAAGGTGGATCTCATTCATGATATATAGAAATCTGAAATAATATTAGGAATTTTTCTATTTGATATAAGACTATATATGATATAGTTATGTGCAATTTTATAAACTTGATAAATTGTTATAGACTATATGCCAGTTAAGGGCTAGGTGTATAGCATTTATAGTAATATCAAATTTTGATATTGAGTTATTAGAAATAATTCCTGAAATGTCCATTGATCATTTTCTATAAAAAGTATTCATAAGGCTGATCTGAATGCAATTGCATTTACAACTAATCAATCATAACCAATTACATGTTCCCTTGTTCATTCTCCATTCCCATTACTTCACTCGATTAGCCTTAAATAGAAGCATTCATAAAACCAAGAGAATTCATGATACATATATTATTAAGAGCTACTTGATACTTTGTGCATATTTTAATTGAAATATTCTCCTTAAATATTGAGTAAAGGTGTTTGGTGTAGGGAGTTTATAAATAAGATATTAATAAATAATATTTAGTGAGTATTTCCTTTGCTCTAAGGGCTTTACCTACATTAGTATATTTCATTTTATAAAAGCCTGATGAGATGCATATTATTGTGTCAATATTACGTAATAAAAAACAAATTACAGAAAACTGTAATCACTTGCACA